AAAAAAGTCTGAAATGTCATGAGATCAGACATAAAACAATAGTGGGTTAACATCAAAATGTCTTGTCTGATGCTAAAAAGTATGTTTTATAATGTAACCTTCTCCACCTTGGTCTGTTAAGGATAATTCATGCAATTTTATAGTATTTATTTGAAGAATTAAAACAGATTCATGTCTATCCTTGTATTATTCAGCTGGTTGAGATTGATACGGGATTTTGAAAGTAATTAGTAATTAAAAGTAATTAAATACTTTTTAGAGAGAGTAATTAGTATAGTAATCTAATTACATTTTTGAAGAGGTTATTAGTAACTAGTAATTAATTACTTTTTTAGAGTAACTTACCCAACACTGATGCAAATTAAGGCACACTGCAATAAAACTGAATTTGGAAATTGAATGTGATGCAAGACTTTCTGTGATAGACTGTGTTGATGGGAGATTTGGGATTGGCTGCTATCAGTCACGTGACTGTTCAGGGGCATCATGTGACAGGATCACCGGCCAATGCATGTGTCCTGCTGGAACGTTTGGAAAACGTTGTGAAAAAGGTGAAATCGTCATTCTGACATGAACATGTCATGCTTATATTGAGCTAAACTCTTTTCTATTGTTTTATATAAAGTATAAGTGAGACCTTTAGCTCATGATTGAAATGAATGCACTATTTACAGTATTTTGAAAACACAAGCTGCAATAGTGGCTCACAGACACAGAATTATCCTTTATGAAAGCATTATATTGTTTAATCCTTGTATTATGTTAAATCTGGGTACGAGTTCATATTGACCCTGGTTTGAATCAGTACATTTCACCAAAAAAATTCAGGTAAAAATTCTACACATTAATTAACATTAAAACTTCTCAAACATTACCAAAAGGTTCAGATTATATATGAGAATATATGAATTTTTATAATATTATAAAAAAAAAATATGTTATATATATATATATATATATATTATTTAGATATTTTATTTAAAATTTAAGATTTTTATTTTCTTTTTAAATTGGATTTTTTAAAATAATATTTACATTTAATAATATTTAAATATATTGCCTTCCTGAAGCTCAAATAGTAGTGCATGGCGCTAGTGATGCCAAGATCACGGGTTTGACTCAATTAACGTGTGAACCGATATAAATGTACAGCACCAATGCAATGTCATTTTATTTAGATAAAAGCATAATACCCTGACATAACAAAATACATGCATTTGAATAATGTTGTGTCTGTGCTGCTGCTTTCAACCATGAAACTCGCTAACATCAGTCTTAATAGAAATTGAGTACTCAAATTTCACAACACCTCACTTTGAGGAAGTTCATGAGCCTCAATGAGAAAGTCCCGGAGCGTAATATAAGAGTGAAATGATAGAATTATCTGAATAAACACAGTATATTTCTGCATCAGAGTGTGTGGAGGGTCACTGGGGCGTTGGATGTGAGGAAACGTGTGTGTCCAGTGTGTCCCGCGGGCCGCTTCGGGGTGGGCTGTCAGCTCAGATGTGTGTGTGATAATGGAGGAGGTTGTGATCCTGTAACGGGACGCTGCTCGTGTCCTCCCGGCTGGACGGGCCACGGCTGCAGGAAGGGTGAGCTTCATGTTTTTGATTATTATGTAATTCTAAAAAGCAAATGAAATGTCATTATGTTGATGGTGAGATACTGTGTGTGTTGTAGCCTGTGACGCGGGCCGCTGGGGTCTGGGCTGTGCGAGTGTGTGTGACTGTGGAAACAGTGGCGGAGTGTGTGACGCTCAGACCGGACGCTGTCAGTGTGAGGCGGGTTTCACTGGACCGCGATGTGACCAGAGTGAGTGTCACACACACTACCGGTCAAAAGTTTTAGATGAGTAAGATTTTTTTATGTTTTTAAAAGAAGTCTCTTCTGCTCACCAAGGCTGCAATTATTTGATAAAAAATACAAAAAAACAGTAATATTGTGAAATAATATTAGAATTTAAAACAGCGGTTTTCTTTGTGAATATATAGTTGAGGGTGAAATTTATTCCTGTGATCAAAGCTGAATTTTCCACATCATTACTGTTGCTGATTACACATCAGTTTTCAGGGTCACATGATCCTTCAGAAATTATTCTAATATGCTGACTTTATGCTCAAAAAACATAAATTGTTGAAAATGTTGAAATGTCGAATGTTGGAAACAGTCGTGTACCATTTCCCCCCAAAAATTCTATGATGAATAGAAAGTTCAAGAGAAAAGCATTTATTTAAAATATAATCTTTTCTAACATTATTAATGTCTTTACTATAACTTTTGATCAATTTAACTCATCCTTGATGAATAAAAGTATTTTCTAATTTCTTTCCCCCAAAAATAAAAAAAAATAAATTCTTGCTGACCCCAAACTTTTGAATGGTAGTGATTAATCCTGAAATAAAAATCCTGAAATCAAAATGTAAAAACACTGTTTTCAACATGGATAATAATCATAAATGTTTCTTGAGCATCATATTATAATAATTTCTGAACTGAAGACTGGAGTAATGATGATAAATTCAGCTTTGATCACAGGAATAATAATAATTACACTTCACTATATATTCACATAGAAAACCACTGTTTTAAATTGTAATAATATTTCACAATATTACTGTTTTTTTGTATTTTTTATCAAATAATTGCAGCCTTGGTGAGCAGAAGAGACTTCTTTTAAAAACATAAAAAATCTTACCGATCTAAAACTTTTGACTAGTAGAGTATACACATTTTACTTCAACCACACACACATGCAACAACGCAAAAGTGTGTTAAAGACATAGGTAAAGGTATTTAAAGACAGTTCACTCAAAAAATGAAAATTCTGTCATCATTTACTCGCCCTCACGTTGTTCCAAACCTGTATGAGTTTCTCTCTTCTGCTAAACACAAGTTAATATATTTTAAAGAATGTTAGTAAACAGAAAGTTGATGATAGCCATTGACTTCCATAGTATGTTTTCAATGTACAAAAATAAAGAATAAAATGGATGGATCATCATCATTTTAGGTTAAAAAATATACGAATTTATCCGTGAAAACGTATATCTAAGATTTAGTGCTCACGTGTCCAGATGTGGGAACCGGACGAGAAGCGACCCAGTCACAGGCGAGTGTGTGAGAGACGAGCGTGACCGAGGTGAGCCGGTGTTTGCTCTGATGTTAGACGTGTGTGAGGGTTTTTCTGACAGATGTGTGTGTGTGTGTGTAGTCTGTCCTGCAGGCTGGTTTGGATCTGGTTGTTCTCAGCGCTGTGACTGCAGGAATGGAGGTGTGTGTGACTCCGTCTCTGGAAACTGCTCATGTGGCCTCGGCTGGACCGGCTCACACTGCGAGAAAGGTGACGTGGTGTGTGTTTATCATTCTCTATAGAGATTAGAGGAAACATTAGACGATTAGGAGAGGCTTGTTCCACCAATTTTTAATTGGTTGGTTATTTTTGGGATTGATTTAAGAAAAAAAAAATTCTGTTTAACTTCAGTATATTTTAATTAAATTTTAGTAATTTTAGTATGTCAACTTATTTTAGTTTTATTCAAATTATTTTGATAAATCATCTAACATTTATATTTTATTTCAGTTAACAAAAACGATTTTTAAAAATGTGTGTTCTATTTTCACTTTTCATTTTAGTTGTATTATTTTTGTTATGTGCTTTTTTATCAGGTTTTTTAAATTATTATTATTTTTAAATATATTTTTGTTCAACTTCAATTTATTTGAATACATTTTTTAGTAATTTTAGCATGTCAACTTATTTTAGTTTCATTTAAATTATTTTGATAAAACATTAATATTTTATTTCAGTTAACAAAAATCATTTTTTTCAAATTTGTGTTCTATTTTCACTTTTCATTTTAGTTTTATTATTTTTGTTATGTTCTTATCATTTTTGTTTAACTTTAATGTTTTAGTAAATTTAGTATGTCAATTTATTTTACTTCTATTTAAAGTAGTATTTAATTTTAAGTCTATTTTTTCCTATTGAATATTTACATTTTATTTCAGGTTTTAAATAGTTCCAGGTTCAGTTTTACTCTTTACTGGTTTTAAATAAAGAAGATCATAGACTCACTGTGTGTGTGTGTGTGTGTGTTGGCAGAATGTCCCGCGGGTTGGTTCGGTCCTGATTGTGCGCTTCAGTGTTCGTGTGTGAACAACAGCACGTGTGACAGAGTAACAGGAAGCTGTCGCTGTGAAGCGGGATATTACGGACATCTGTGTGAACACGGTGAGATCCAGAGCAACACACAGTTAAAGCGTTCACACCACAGGCGGACTGCGTTCTGATGTGGAGTGTGTTTCAGTGTGTCCTGCCGGTGTGTTCGGGCCCCGGTGTCAGCATCGCTGTGACTGTGTGAACGGGGCGTCCTGCCTCCCGAGAACCGGACAGTGTGTGTGTCCCGTTGGACTTCACGGCTCTCGTTGTGAGAGAGGTGTCCCGCTTCAAGTTATTAAACAGAATTAAAGGAGTAGTTCACTTTTAAAAAACACTTTTGCTGATAATTTACTCGCCCCCCATGTCATCCAAGATGTCCATGTCTTTCTTTCTTCAGTCGAAAAGAAATGAAGGTTTTTGATGAAAACATTCCAGGATTTTTCTCCATATAATGGACTTCAATGGGAACCAAACGGTCCAAATGAGAGTTTTAGTGCAGCTTCAAAGGGCTTTAAACGACACCAGACGATGAATAAGGGTCTAATCTAGGACCCTTCGAGTCATGACTTGAAAAAAGATTCGTTCATTTTGATGAACGAGTTTGAACAGGAGAGTCACGAACGCTCATCACAGAACAGAGCAAGGCGAGCATTTGAGCTTACAAAACTGAAACTTTTTTATTTATTTTTGAAATGAGCGATTGTTTCGCTAGATAAGACCCTTATTCATCGTCTGGTGTCGTTTAAAGCCCTTTGAAGTTGCACTGAAACTCTCATTTGGACCGTTTGGACCCCATTGAAGTCCATTATATGGAGAAAATCCTGGAATGTTTTCATCAAAAAACTTCATTTCTTTTCGACTGAAGAAAGAAAGACATGGACATCTTGGATGCTTGTTTCTGCTTCATCTGTGTTTAGATCCGAAGCTTCAGTACTCTTTCAGAAGATGTGTAATAGCGCCCCCTACCGAATAACAGAGAACACACAGAATGTTAATGTGATGTTTCATTGAGCTGTGAATCTATTAAGCCTGTGCACATTTTCATACTGAAGCGTCACTAGTAAAATCATCTAGTTGCAGGGTTATTTATATTGTGAAATAAAACTATAAAACACGTTTTCATGATTTAAAAAAAACAAAAACAAAAAAACTTTGGTAACATTTTTCATTTTTGTGTAGTTGAAGTACCAAAATAACAAAACTGTATAGACATATAAAAAAAACAACAAAACAACAACAATTAAAACACTAAACCATATTCAAATGAAAACATAAAATAAAATCTGCACAAAACCTCTAACAGTATAAATGATTGTAAAACTCTTTCCTTTCCTCAGAATGTGAGCGCGGCTTGTTCGGGCTGAACTGCTCTCAGTCATGTGACTGTGCGGGACACGCACCATGTGACCCGGTGAGTGGCAGGTGTATCTGCCCGTCAGGAAAGACAGGAGTCCGGTGTGACAGCGGTGAGTGAGTGATGATTGCTGATGATTCTGATATCTGAACATATTGTGTGTGATGATGGTGTGTGTGATGTTCAACAGACTGCAGTGTGAACCGCTACGGGCCCGACTGCGCACTCGCGTGTCAATGTGAAAACGGCTCTCAGTGCGACAGCAGAAACGGACGCTGTGTGTGTCTCAACGGCTGGATCGGTCTCACGTGTTCAGAACGTAAAGTAGTGCTTCTTTTTCAGCTTATTATAAAATATAATCAGGGTTTGATATGAACATTTTCACTCACCAGTCAATTTGGCTGCTACATTTAGAAGTTACCGGCTATTTAGAATGTCTACTAGCAAAACAAATATATATATACAATATATAAATGTATAGTTTGACTTAGTTTTTACTTTTATTTTTTCCATTTTCAGTTCTGTTGCAGTTTTGGTAATTTTGTGTTCTACTTTTTTGTAATTTCTATTTAGTAATTTGAGTAATTTAAATTTTAAAATAGTTTTTAAGTAGTTTAAATTGTCATTTTAATTTCAGTTTTAGTTATTGGCAGCACTTTACAATAAGGTTTTGTTTGTTAAAATTAAATAATAATAATGATAAATTATTATTAATTTATATAAAATATATAAATTTAAATATATGTAAATTAATTAACATAATTAATGTTAAACACACTTAAATCAACTAAACACTTAGTTAATATTAATTTCAATTAAGTGCTAATACATTTTTAAAAGCAAAAGTTTTTGTTAACATGAGTTCCTGCTCTGTGAACTAACATGAGGAACTGTATTTTGTAATGTTGTAAAAAAAATATCATTCACCGATAGGTAATACATTAACTAATGTTTACAAAGGAGACCTTATAGTAAAGTGTTACCTAGTTATTTTAGTATATTGTTAAACTAAATGTAAATGAGAAATGCTCCCTTGGCAGCTATCTGAAATAAAACAAGCAACAAAATAGCTGTTTTATGAACTTAGTTGACTATAATAACCCTGATTTAGTAATATATTGTGATTTGAATGTTTGTAGGTGAAACTCCAGAGCTGGACTCCAGAAGTGTAGAAGAGAGCCAATCACAGCTCAACTCCTCATAACACACGCGCGCGCACACACACACACACACGCGCGCGCACACACACACACACACACACACAGAGACTACATGGAAGCACGAGTGTGTTGAGGTGGAGAAGTGATCATGTTCAAACACACAGCACTGACAGCTCATCCTCATACTGGACCCTCATCCGTATGTCAGGGGATATTAATATTCTCTGTGTTCAAGAACTGTTGTGATGTACACTACAGTAGGGTTCAGGTTTGACTGTAAACAGGAGGAAAGTGCCTTTTTGATTTTTCCAAAATTTCACTCATTGTTTACAAATATTGTTGAACCTAAACTATTTTTTTTACTGTAACATTTGATAAAAAAAAAACACAGGAAACATGTGGATGTCAAGATATTGAACTGAAGAAGATATTGATATACTGTAAGATCATGATGTGCTTATATCAAAGGAGGTCCTGTTTGTGAAATATGTTTATATTAGAAAACATTTTTTCATGCTTCATTTTCTGTTAAGCATTTGATTGTTTTGTATAAAGTTTGAGTTATTTATATATTTTGTAAAATATACAAACATACAATTGTAAATGTTATGCAAATTCTTTTTTTTTACTCAATGCCCCAAAAACGTTCATTCTGGAATGCTAGACTTTGATTTTATTATTTAAGAAAGCATGTTGTGTGTAAAATTTTACATCCAAGTGACAGATTTTTAAAACCGATTTCAGAATAAAAGACTTTTGAACTTGTTGTTTTATTTTAGGTCTAGAGCCTCCATTTTTGCACTCAGGTCAAAGTCTCGCGCCCCTCTATCAGAATCCAGAGTTTTGAGAAGATTGGAGAAATTTCATTTTTCGCCCAAAAATGAAAAAAACGAAAGGGGTAACACTGTCGTTTTTTTTTTCGGGTCGAAATTTTGAATTTCGATATGTCAGCTCTGGAAGGGTCTAGAGCCTCCATTTTTGCACTCAGGTCAAAGTCTCGCGCCCTCTATCAGAATCCAGAGTTTTGAGAAGATTGGAGAAACTTCATTTTTCGCCCGAAAATGAAAAAAAAAAAGGGGTAACACTGTCGTTTTTTTTTCGGGTCGAAATTTTGAATTTCGATATCTCAGCTCTGGAAGGGTCTAGAGCCTCCATTTTTGCACTCAGGTCAAAGTCTCGCGCCCCTCTATCAGAATCCAGAGTTTTGAGAAGATTGGAGAAACTTCATTTTTCGCCCAAAAAAAAAAAAAAACGAAAGGGGTAACACTGTCGTTTTTTTTTCGGGTCGAAATTTTGAATTTCGATATCTCAGCTCTGGAAGGGTCTAGAGCCTCCATTTTTGCACTCAGGTCAAAGTCTCGGCCCTCTATCAGAATCCAGAGTTTTGAGAAGATTGGAGAAACTTCATTTTTCGCCCGAAAATGAAAAAAAAACGAAAGGGGTAACACTGTCGTTTTTTTTTCGGGTCGAAATTTTGAATTTCGATATCTCAGCTCTGGAAGGGTCTAGAGCCTCCATTTTTGCACTCAGGTCAAAGTCTCGTGCCCCTCTATCAGAATCCAGAGTTTTGAGAAGATTGGAGAAACTTCATTTTTCGCCCAAAAATGAAAAAAAAACGAAAGGGGTAACACTGTCGTTTTTTTTTCGGGTCGAAATTTTGAATTTCGATATCTCAGCTCTGGAAGGGTCTAGAGCCTCCATTTTTGCACTCAGGTCAAAGTCTCGCGCCCTCTATCAGAATCCAGAGTTTTGAGAAGATTGGAGAAACTTCATTTTTCGCCCGAAAATGAAAAAAAACGAAAGGGGTAACACTGTCGTTTTTTTTTCGGGTCGAAATTTTGAATTTCGATATCTCAGCTCTGGAAGGGTCTAGAGCCTCCATTTTTGCACTCAGGTCAAAGTCTCGCGCCCCTCTATCAGAATCCAGAGTTTTGAGAAGATTGGAGAAACTTCATTTTTCGCCCAAAAATGAAAAAAAACGAAAGGGGTAACACTGTCGTTTTTTTTTCGGGTCGAAATTTTGAATTTCGATATCTCAGCTCTGGAAGGGTCTAGAGCCTCCATTTTTGCACTCAGGTCAAAGTCTCGCGCCCCTCTATCAGAATCCAGAGTTTTGAGAAGATTGGAGAAACTTCATTTTTCGCCCAAAAATGAAAAAAAAACGAAAGGGGTAACACTGTCGTTTTTTTTTCGGGTCGAAATTTTGAATTTCGATATCTCAGCTCTGGAAGGGTCTAGAGCCTCCATTTTTGCACTCAGGTCAAAGTCTCGCGCCCCTCTATCAGAATCCAGAGTTTTGAGAAGATTGGAGAAACTTCATTTTTCGCCCAAAAATGAAAAAAAACGAAAGGGGTAACACTGTCGTTTTTTTTTCGGGTCGAAATTTTGAATTTCGATATCTCAGCTCTGGAAGGGTCTAGAGCCTCCATTTTTGCACTCAGGTCAAAGTCTCGCGCCCCTCTATCAGAATCCAGAGTTTTGAGAAGATTGGAGAAACTTAATTTTTCGCCCAAAAATGAAAAAAAACGAAAGGGGTAACACTGTCGTTTTTTTTTCGGGTCGAAATTTTGAATTTCGATATCTCAGCTCTGGAAGGGTCTAGAGCCTCCATTTTTGCACTCAGGTCAAAGTCTCGCGCCCCTCTATCAGAATCCAGAGTTTTGAGAAGATTGGAGAAACTTCATTTTTCGCCCAAAAATGAAAAAAAAACGAAAGGGGTAACACTGTCGTTTTTTTTTCGGGTCGAAATTTTGAATTTCGATATCTCAGCTCTGGAAGGGTCTAGAGCCTCCATTTTTGCACTCAGGTCAAAGTCTCGCGCCCCTCTATCAGAATCCAGAGTTTTGAGAAGATTGGAGAAACTTCATTTTTCGCCCAAAAATGAAAAAAAAACGAAAGGGGTAACACTGTCGTTTTTTTTTCGGGTCGAAATTTTGAATTTCGATATCTCAGCTCTGGAAGGGTCTAGAGCCTCCATTTTTGCACTCAGGTCAAAGTCTCGCGCCCCTCTATCAGAATCCAGAGTTTTGAGAAGATTGGAGAAACTTCATTTTTCGCCCAAAAATGAAAAAAAACGAAAGGGGTAACACTGTCGTTTTTTTTTCGGGTCGAAATTTTGAATTTCGATATCTCAGCTCTGGAAGGGTCTAGAGCCTCCATTTTTGCACTCAGGTCAAAGTCTCGCGCCCCTCTATCAGAATCCAGAGTTTTGAGAAGATTGGAGAAACTTCATTTTTCGCCCAAAAATGAAAAAAAACGAAAGGGGTAACACTGTCGTTTTTTTTTTCGGGTCGAAATTTTGAATTTCGATATCTCAGCTCTGGAAGGGTCTAGAGCCTCCATTTTTGCACTCAGGTCAAAGTCTCGCGCCCTCTATCAGAATCCAGAGTTTTGAGAAGATTGGAGAAACTTAATTTTTCGCCCAAAAATGAAAAAAAACGAAAGGGGTAACACTGTCGTTTTTTTTTCGGGTCGAAATTTTGAATTTCGATATCTCAGCTCTGGAAGGGTCTAGAGCCTCCATTTTTGCACTCAGGTCAAAGTCTCGCGCCCCTCTATCAGAATCCAGAGTTTTGAGAAGATTGGAGAAACTTCATTTTTCGCCCAAAAATGAAAAAAAACGAAAGGGGTAACACTGTCGTTTTTTTTTTCGGGTCGAAATTTTGAATTTCGATATCTCAGCTCTGGAAGGGTCTAGAGCCTCCATTTTTGCACTCAGGTCAAAGTCTCGCGCCCCTCTATCAGAATCCAGAGTTTTGAGAAGATTGGAGAAACTTCATTTTTCGCCCAAAAATGAAAAAAAACGAAAGGGGTAACACTGTCGTTTTTTTTTTCGGGTCGAAATTTTGAATTTCGATATCTCAGCTCTGGAAGGGTCTAGAGCCTCCATTTTTGCACTCAGGTCAAAGTCTCGCGCCCCTCTATCAGAATCCAGAGTTTTGAGAAGATTGGAGAAACTTAATTTTTCGCCCAAAAATGAAAAAAAACGAAAGGGGTAACACTGTCGTTTTTTTTTCGGGTCGAAATTTTGAATTTCGATATCTCAGCTCTGGAAGGGTCTAGAGCCTCCATTTTTGCACTCAGGTCAAAGTCTCGCGCCCCTCTATCAGAATCCAGAGTTTTGAGAAGATTGGAGAAACTTCATTTTTCGCCCAAAAATGAAAAAAAAAACGAAAGGGGTAACACTGTCGTTTTTTTTTCGGGTCGAAATTTTGAATTTCGATATCTCAGCTCTGGAAGGGTCTAGAGCCTCCATTTTTGCACTCAGGTCAAAGTCTCGCGCCCCTCTATCAGAATCCAGAGTTTTGAGAAGATTGGAGAAACTTCATTTTTCGCCCAAAAATGAAAAAAAACGAAAGGGGTAACACTGTCGTTTTTTTTTTCGGGTCGAAATTTTGAATTTCGATATCTCAGCTCTGGAAGGGTCTAGAGCCTCCATTTTTGCACTCAGGTCAAAGTCTCGCGCCCTCTATCAGAATCCAGAGTTTTGAGAAGATTGGAGAAACTTAATTTTTCGCCCAAAAATGAAAAAAAACGAAAGGGGTAACACTGTCGTTTTTTTTTCGGGTCGAAATTTTGAATTTCGATATCTCAGCTCTGGAAGGGTCTAGAGCCTCCATTTTTGCACTCAGGTCAAAGTCTCGCGCCCTCTATCAGAATCCAGAGTTTTGAGAAGATTGGAGAAACTTCATTTTTCGCCCAAAAATGAAAAAAAACGAAAGGGGTAACACTGTCGTTTTTTTTTCGGGTCGAAATTTTGAATTTCGATATCTCAGCTCTGGAAGGGTCTAGAGCCTCCATTTTTGCACTCAGGTCAAAGTCTCGCGCCCCTCTATCAGAATCCAGAGTTTTGAGAAGATTGGAGAAACTTAATTTTTCGCCCAAAAATGAAAAAAAACGAAAGGGGTAACACTGTCGTTTTTTTTTCGGGTCGAAATTTTGAATTTCGATATCTCAGCTCTGGAAGGGTCTAGAGCCTCCATTTTTGCACTCAGGTCAAAGTCTCGCGCCCTCTATCAGAATCCAGAGTTTTGAGAAGATTGGAGAAACTTCATTTTTCGCCCAAAAATGAAAAAAAACGAAAGGGGTAACACTGTCGTTTTTTTTTCGGGTCGAAATTTTGAATTTCGATATCTCAGCTCTGGAAGGGTCTAGAGCCTCCATTTTTGCACTCAGGTCAAAGTCTCGCGCCCCTCTATCAGAATCCAGAGTTTTGAGAAGATTGGAGAAACTTCATTTTTCGCCCAAAAATGAAAAAAAAACGAAAGGGGTAACACTGTCGTTTTTTTTTCGGGTCGAAATTTTGAATTTCGATATCTCAGCTCTGGAAGGGTCTAGAGCCTCCATTTTTGCACTCAGGTCAAAGTCTCGCGCCCCTCTATCAGAATCCAGAGTTTTGAGAAGATTGGAGAAACTTAATTTTTCGCCAAAAACTGAAAAAAAACGAAAGGGGTAACACTGTCGTTTTTTTTTTCGGGTCGAAATTTTGAATTTCGATATCTCAGCTCTGGAAGGGTCTAGAGCCTCCATTTTTGCACTCAGGTCAAAGTCTCGCGCCCCTCTATCAGAATCCAGAGTTTTGAGAAGATTGGAGAAACTTCATTTTTCGCCCAAAAATGAAAAAAAACGAAAGGGGTAACACTGTCGTTTTTTTTTTCGGGTCGAAATTTTGAATTTCGATATCTCAGCTCTGGAAGGGTCTAGAGCCTCCATTTTTGCACTCAGGTCAAAGTCTCGCGCCCTCTATCAGAATCCAGAGTTTTGAGAAGATTGG